AAGGCAGTTTTATCTAAATATCTTTGAAAAGATAGTCCAAAAAAAAAAAAAGACAATCAATGCTTGGACCTCAAGTTATACAGAGAAGCAAGAGACCAATGGAGACTTGTCTCCCATGGCATATACACTACAGTGGTGAGATCTGGCAATTGCCATCTTCATCAGGTGTCCAAACCCAATATGGTCAGCTGATTTTCTTTTCTTTTTTTTTTTTTTTTTTTTGAGACGGAGTTTTGCTCTTGTTACCCAGGCTGGAGTGCAATGGCGTGATCTCAGCTCACTGCAACCTCCGCCTCCTGGGTTCAGGCAATTCTCCTGCCTCAGCCTCCTGAGTGGCTGAGATTACAGGCACGCGCCACCATGTCCAGCTAATTTTTTGTATTTTTAGTAGAGACGGGGTTTCACCATGTTGACCAGGATGGTCTCGATCTCTTGACCTCGTGATCCACCTGCCTCGGCCTCCCAAAGTGCTGGATTACAGGCTTGAGCCACTGCGCCCGGCTGGTCAGTTGATTTTCAACCATGATGACAAGATAATTTGATAGGGGAAATTGTCTTTTCAACAAATGGCCCGGGACAAGTGGGTATACATATGCAAAAGAGTGAAGTTGGGCTCCTCCTCAAGAACTATTAGGAGAAAATGTAGGAATAAATCTTAATTGCTTTGGTCTAGACATGGAATCTTAGCTATGACAACCAAAGCGCAGGCAACAAAAGAAAAATAGATTAATTAGATTTCATCAAAATTAAAAGCTTCTGTACTTCAAAGGACTCTTGAAGAAAAAGAAAACTCACAGAATGGGAGAAAATGTTTGCAAATTATGTTTGAAAAGGGTCCTGTCTCTAGAATATACAAAGAGCCCTTACAACTTTACAATGAAAAAACAAGTAACTCAGTTTAATACATGGGTAAAGATCTGAATAGACATTTCTCCAAAGAAGGCATACCACATGGCCAGTAAGCCCTGAAAAGATGCTTAGCATCAAAGTCATCAGAGACATGCCAATCAAAACCACAGTGAGATAATCCTCAGACTCACTAGATGGCTAAAAGAAAAAAATGAGATCAGGCCAGGTGCGGTGGCTCATGCCTGTAATCCCAACACTTTGGGAGGCCAAGGTGGGCAGATCACCTGATGTTAGGAGTTCGAGACCAGCGTGGTTAACATGGCAAAACTTGTCTCTACTAAAAATACAAAAATTACCCAGGCTTGGTGGCATGTGCCTGTAATCCCAGCTACTTGGGAGGCTGAGGCAGGAGAATTGCTTGAACTTGGGAGGCAGAGATTGCAGTAAGCTGAGATTGCGCCACTGCACTCTGGCCTGGGTGACAGAGCAAGACTCTGTCAAAAACAACAATAACAAAGTGAGATCATATTAAGTGGTGGCTAGAATGTGGAGAAACTGGAACCTTTATGTATTGCTGGTGGGAATGTAAAATTACGTAGCCACTTTGGAAAACACTTTGTCAGTTCCCCAAAATGTTGAACATAGAGTTCCTATGTGATGTAGCCATTCTACCTCTAGGCAGAATCCTCAAGAGAATTAAATACATGTCTGCACAAACCCTTGTTACGTGAATGTTCTACAGTGACATCCCCACTTCAGCCTCTCCAGGAGCTGGAACTAACAGATGTGTGTCACCATGCCCAGCTAACTTAAAACAGTATTTTTAGTTGAGATGGGATCTTGCTATGTTGCCTGGACTGGTCTCAAACTCTTGGCTTCAAGTGATCTTCCTGCCTCTGCCTCTCAAAGTGTTGGGATTATAGATGTGAACCACGTACCTGGCCCAAGATTTATTTTTAATTAGGAAGCAATATATAAATGCATTCTCTTTGTGGAAAGACAAAAATGTTAGGCTAATGGCCCCCTCGTCTACCTCTTCCAAGCCTGGTCTTTTTCCTGTGCTATATCTGCCCAGTCCCTGACCATTGCCCCAGGTAACTATGATTTAATTTTTGCACATGTTTATAGTGATTTGGGGGTCGGGGGAGCTGTTTGTCGCCCAGTCATTCAGATATTAAGGCTGATAGGGGTTCTGGGGCTTCAAGATTCAGTGAGGCTTGGAGATCACTCTCTTTTTTTGTGGGGGAGACAGAGTCTTGCTCTGTCGCCCAGGCTGGAGTGCAGTGGCATGATCACAACTCACTGCTACCTTCGCCTCCTGGGTTCTAGCGATTTTCCTGCCTCAGCCTCACAAGTGGTGGGACTACACACATGCCACCATGCCCAGCTAATTTTTTGTGTGTGTGTTTTTAGTAGGGATGGATTTCACCATATTGGCCAGGATGGTCTTGAACTCTTGACCTCGTGATCCGCCTGCTTCAGCCTCTCAAAGTGCTGGGGAGATCTCTTACCTGCTCTGAGTTCCAGAAGTGACACACAGCACTTTTGCTAGAAGCCCTTCACTCAAATGGTCCCTTGCAGGGAGCAGAGAAGTACAGTCTACCTTTTCCCAGAAGGAAAGGAAAGGGAGATGTGGGGAGCACTGCGGGACTCTACCGTAGCCTGGCGTTTTGCTTCTTTTGTTGTAGTGTCCTGGTTTCAATGTCGGTCTCATCAAACTCAGTTGGGATGGCTTCTCATTCTTTTTTTAGATGGTGGGAACAGTTTTTATGAGGTGGGAATTATCTGTACCTTGAAATCTTGATAGTGTTTTCCTGTAAAACTATGTAAGTTTAGTGCCTTGTTTCTATGGGTAGATTTTTGATTATCATTTCAACTTAACAGCCATTGGTCAGGGTTTCACTACTTGGGCCTGTTTCGGGCAATTTATATGTTCTTAGAAAATGTTTCATTCTAGCTATTAGTTTAAAGTTGGGCCTCTGTGGTGCACTGTTAGGATTTATAAAATTGATCCTTGTGGTTTTATTTCCTCCTTTGTCTTTATTTGGGGGTATCTGTGCCTTTTTTCTTTTTCTTGAGCTTACTTAAAAAGATTTGTTCTTAGGCCAGGTGCGGTGGCTCACGCCTGTAATCCCAGCACTTTGGAAGGCTGAGGTGGGTAGATAATGAGGTCCGGAGATTGAGACCATCCTGGCTAACATGGTGAAACCCCGTCTCCACTAAAAGTAAAAAAATAATTAAAAAAAAATAGCCAGGGTGGTGGTGGTCGCCTGTAATCCCTGCTACTCGGGAGGCTGGGGCAGGAGAATCGCTTGAACCCAGGAGGTGGAAGTTGCGGTGAGCCAAGGTTGCGCCATGCACTCCAGCTTGGGCAACAGAGCGAGACTCCATCTCAAAACAAACAGAAAGATTTCTTCTTCTTTTTTTTAAAGCTAGTCTTTTAAAAGAACTGGCTTCTGGTTTGATTGACAGTTGTTTCCCCTTTCATTAATATGTGCTATTATCTTTATTAATTCCTTCTTTCTGCTTTGTTTATTCATCCTTGAGTTGAAAGTGTAGGTTATTCATTTTTAGTTTTTCTGGGTTTTAGTGCATGAATTTAAGCCTGCATTTTAATATAGGGTATTTTTATTTTCATTTGATACAAATAGTTTCTCATTTCTACTTTAACTTTCTCTTTAATCCGAGAGTTATTTAAAACTATTTTAAAATTTCCAGATGTGTGGATTTATTTAGGATGTAAATTTAGTGAGGATTTTTTGGGTTACATTTAGCGAACGAATGCAGACTGTTTATCAATTTGGGAGATTTGTGAGTCTCTTTTGTAGCTTAGTATGTAGTCAGCTTTTCTAAATTCCATGTGTGTTTGGAAAGAGTATGTAGTCTGTTTTACAAGGAAACACTTTTATTGAGTTTATTTCTTTCTTTCATGGTGCGACTTCCTGTAAATGTTGGATGGTTCCTGGTTCTGTGTTCATTCTTGCAGCTGGGATTTCTCTGTGGAGCTGGGGGCAGAAGCTGGGGATGAACTGCAGGAGGGACTCATCCTATGCACTGGACATGATGTGTTCTGCAGTCACTTGCCATCCTGCCCAGAACGTGGCCCTGTGTCCCAGAGCCAGGCTTCTATACTCAGTCTTGCAGATGGAGGAAGAGCCTGGCCCCAGCTCATTGCTTCCGTTGTGGGGTGGGCAGGGACAAGCAATGAGGCGCCCAAGCGAAGCTGCTATGGCAGCTCACATGTCCTGCCTGAAGCATCACTCTAGTGGCCTCTCCTGGGCCTCAGCTTCCTGGCTTCCCACCCGGGAAGCTTGCCCCAAGGGTTGGTCCTGCCTCATGCAGTGGCAGTTGCCTGAGTGTGGCGGTGTCATCTGTCAGTAGCGAAGATTTCCCTCTGCTCCTTTGCTTTCCATCTTTTAGGGCAGCAATCCCCAGCCTTCTTGGCACTGGAGACCAGTTTCATGGAAGGCCATTTCTCCATGGATGGGGTGGGGGAGATGGTTTTGGGATGATTCAAGCACATTCCATTTATTGTGCACTTTATTTCTATTATTATTACATTGTAATACATAATGAAATAATTCTACAACTTACCATCATGCAGAATCAGTGGGAGCCCTGAGCTTGTTTTCCTGCAACTAGACGGTCCCATATGGGGGTGGTTGGAGACAATGACAGATCATCAGGCATTAGATTCTCATAATGAGCACACAACCTAGATCCCTCACATGCGCAGTTCAAAATAGGGTTTGTGCTCTTGAGAATCAAATGCCACATGGCTGATCTGACAGGAGGCGGAGCTAAGGTGGTATGAGAGCTGTAAATACCGATGAAGCTTTGCTTCACGGGGCAGAGAGTGGTTTGAGGACACCTGTTTTAAGGATTCCTTTTGTGAGCAGAGCTGTTTATATGTTTATCTTAAATATCTATTTTGTCGTTCCTATTGGTGTGGCAAGGAAGGGGCAGTCTGCAGCATGTGTTCAGTCTGTCGGTCTCACAACCTAATTATCTGTCAGTTTTATTCAAGTTGGAAGTGTGAAATTAAGCTCTCAATTTGGTGCCACTTTTTTTTTTTAATAAAGACGTGAAAAGCCACAAGATTTCAGATAGCGAAGCAATTAACCGAGAAACAGAATGAAGACTTTCAGGGCTCTGTAACAGCTGTTTTATTTGTGAATTCATTTTTGAAAATCGTATCTTGAGTCTTCAAAACTTTATGTTTTTCTGTGGTTAGCAACATTTCTTTTTTATTTGCTTCTGTCTTCTGTAGCATATTATGCATCAACATGGAAAAATTCCATATTCAGCCCTTTGGAGTTGCCTGATGGTGAAAACCACAAATGACATATTAATAGTCTGAACAGAGAATCGAAAGTGCAACCAGACGGAGCACCAGTGACTGTGGTTAGAAGTGGATACGAATCCTAGCTACTGTCAGCTTAATCCTTTTTTTACAAAGTCACCAATATTTTAATATAAAAAATAAGCTTTTGTTTTTCTCATAAATGTTTTTCATATCATCATTCTTTGCAGAAAAGTTAAAGATTACAACCAGGGGAAAAGAAAAAAAGTTATACCATAACCTATTATGAGAAAAGAAAATAAATAATACCGTGTTAGTTGACATCACTCCAGACTGTTAAATACTCATTTATCCATATACACACAATTTTATGAAAGAGTTTACACTGTCACTGTTTTGTAACCTTTTCTTGTTGTTGTTTTATTATAGACTTTATTTTTTAGAACAATTTTAGACTTACAGAATTATTGCAAAGGTAGGACAGACAGTTCCCATGTTACCTGTACACATACACACACGTGCACACACATGTATACACACATACATACATGTCCAGATTCCCCAATTAACAACATCTCACATGAGTACAGTACATTTGTTGCAGTTAATGAACCAATTTTTATTTATTTATTTATTTTTGAGATGGAGTCTTGCTCAGTCGCCCAGGCTGGAGTCCAGTGGCTCAATGGCAGCTCACTGCAACCTCTGCCTTTGGGGTTCAAGCAATTCTGTCTCAGCCTCCCGAGTAGCTGGGACTACTGGTGCCTGCCACCACATCTGACTAATTTTTGTATTTTTAGTAGAGATGGGGTTTCACCTAATCTTGGTCAGGCTGGTCTGGAACTCCTGACCTCAGGTGATCCACCTGCCTCAGCCTCCCGAAGTGCTGGGATTACAGGCGTGAGCCATCGTGCCTGGCCGAACCAATTTTAATATACTGTTATTAACTGAAGTTCATGCTTTCACTCTCAGTTTTTATCTGATGATATGTTCTGTTTCAGGATCCCATCCAGGATAGGACATTACATTTAGTTGTCATGTTTCCATAGGCTGCTCTTGGCTGTGACAGTTTCTTAGACTTTCCTGGTTTTCGATGACCTTGACAGCTGTAAGAAGCACTGATCGGGTATTTGTAGAATGTTCCTTCAGTGGCATCATCTGATATTGGTGACATGATTAGAATGGGGTTATACATTTTGGGAGGAAGACCACAGAAGTGCAGTACCATTCTTATGACATCCTATGAAAATTACATGCTGTTAATATCAGCATGACTTGTCACTGTTGATGTTGACCTCGATCACCTGGCTGAGGTGGTGTTCATCAGGTTTCTCCACTGTAAAGTTACTCATTTTTCCCTCTTTCTATACTGGACTCTTTGGAAGGAAGTCACTACGCGCAGCCCATACATAAGGAGCAGGGGCTGGGTGTGGTGGCCCACACCTGTAATCCCAGCACTTTAGTAGGCTGTGGCTATAGGATCACTTGAGCCCAGGATTCAAGACCAGCCTGGGCAACATACTTAGACCCCATCTCTATAAAAAATAAAAAATCAGCCAGGTATGGTGATACACACCTGTGGTCCCAGCTACTTTGGAAGCTACGTAGGAGGATCACTCACCCAAAAGGTTGAGGCTGCAGTGAGCTGTGATTGTGCCATTGCATTCCAGCTTGGGAAACACAGTGAGACCCTGTTTCAAGGGAAAAAAAAGAAAGAAAGAACGGAGTAGGGAGTGACGCCACTCCACCTTGATGGTAGAACATCTGAGTCATTTATTTAGAGTCTTTTGCACATGGGATTTGGCTCTTCCCCTGCCCCCCGCATTATTCATTTACTTAGTCATTCCTTAATGTCAGTATGGACTCATAGAGATTGATTTTTTAGTTTGGGTTATAACCCAGGACTATTTTATTTGTTTTACTGCTCAAAATGTTCTAGCTTTGGCCAGTGGGAGCTCTCTCAGTTGGCTCTGGTGTCTCTCTGATGTACCCCCAGCAATACAGTGGGATTTATTTATATTTTTATTTTTAGACAGAGTGCTACTCTGTTTCCCAGGCTAGAGTGCAGCAGCACAATCTTGGCTCACTGCAACCTCCGCCTCCTGGGTTCAAGTGATTCATGTGCCTTAGCCTCCCAAGTAGCTGGGACTGCAGGCCGTGCCACACCTGGCTAATTTTTTTTTTTTTTTTTGGTATGTTTAGTAGAGACGGGTTTTGCCGTGTTGTCCAGGCTGGTCTTGAACTCCCGGCCTCAAGTGATCCATCTGCCGCAGCCTCCCAAAGTGCTAGGATTACAGGTGTGAGCTACTGTGCCTGGCCAGATTTTTTTTGCCCTTCACTACCTTCTGTAATGAAGATGCTCTTGTATATCACGTGTCCCAGTCCTAGAATCAGCCATTTCTCCATAGAGCTTTTTCTCCTTCCCCTTCCCCCTACATTTCCTTCTCCTCCCTCCTCCTCCTCCTCCTCCTCTTCATCTTCATTTTCGTCTCTTTCTGTCACCCAGGCTGGAGTACAGTGGTGCAGCCTTGAATTCCTGTCTCCTTTTCCTCCTCCTTTCTTCTTCTTCCTCATCTTCATCTTCGTCTCTCTCGGTCATCCAGGCTGGAGTACAGTGGTACAGCCTTGAATTCCTGGCTCACTACAGCCTTCAACTCCTGGACTTAAGTGATCCTCCTACTTTCAGCCTCCCTTTCAGCCTCCCTAGTAGCTGGAACTAAAGGCATAAACTACCATATCCAGCTAATTTTTAAAATTTTTTGTAGAGACAGGGTCTCCGTATGTTGCCCAGGCTGGTCTCGAACCCCTGGGCTCAAGGGATCCACTTACCCTGGCCTCCCAAAGTGCTGGGTAATCAGGCAGGAACCACTGTGTCTAGCCCCCTTTTCCTTTTAATAGAGAATATCAGGAATATAATCTTTTTTCAAACTGAATATATTGTCATGTCATGTCATTATATATTCCTCTACAGAACAGTCTTGCTCTGTTGCCCAGGCTGGAGTGCAGTAGTGCCATCTTGGCTCACTACAACCTCTGACTCCTAGTTCAAGTGATTATCTTGCCTCAGCCACCTGAGTAGCTGGGATTAGAAACACCATCACGCCTGGTGAATTTTTGTATTTTTAGCAAAGATGGGCTTTCACTATGTTGGCCAGGTTGATCTTGAACTCTTGACCTTGAGTGATCTGCCCATCTTGGCCTCCCAAAGTACTGGATTACAGGCATGAGCCACCATGCCCAGCCCTGTTTCTTACCTTTTTTTTTTTTTTCTTTTTTGAGATGGAGTCTTACTTTGTCGCCTAGGCTGGAGTGCAGTGGCGTGATCTCAGCTCACCACAATCTCTGCCTCCTGGGTTCAAGCAATTTTCCTGCCTCCATGTGCCACCATGCCTGCCTAATCTTTGTATTTTTAGTAGAGACAGGGTTTCACTATGTTGGCCAGGCTGGTCTGGAACTCCTGACCTCGTGATCCACCCACCTTGGCCTCCCAAAGTGCTGGGATTACAAGTGTGTGCCACCGTACAGCTTTTTTTTTTCAAAGTTTTAAATGATCTTATGGATCTGTTGTTGGCTACACTGACTGGAAACTTTTAATGTCGTGACATAGTTTTTCATTCTTAATGCTTAGTTGTCGATGAAGTAGTGTGAGCCAGTGAATGATATGGTTTTCATTTAGGAGATGGATCAGTTCTTATCTCCGTCACTAACATTGCCAGGTCACCTTGAGCAGTTGCTAAATCTCTCTGAGCTTCTATTTTTCTTCTGTGCTCAATCAAATTGAGCATAATGATTTTACCCTGATTCATACTGTGCTGTGAATAATGATTAGCCAAATAATTATAATGGCTTTTATGATAAAACCAGGCAAAATACTACCATTAAATACTTCAGTGTTATGGAAGTAGCACCATAAAATGATAAACAGGAAAGAAATTATAAGGCACTTTGTTTTAGAAGATTTTGTGTATTTCTTGTTTTTTTTTTTTTTGGAGACGGAGTTTCATTCTGTTACCCAGACTTGAGTGCAGTGCCGTGATCTCAGCTCACTGCAACCTCCTCCTCCAGGGTTCAAGTGATTCTCCTGCCTCAGCCTCCCAAATAGCTGGGATTACAGGTGTCCTCCACCATGCCTGGCTATTTTTTTTTTTTTTTCAGTAGAGACAGGGTTTTACCACGTTGGCCAAGCTGGTCTGGAACTCCTGACCTCAGGTGATCCATCTGCCTCCACCTCCCAAAGTGCTGGTGAGCCACCATGCCTGGCCACCTTCGGATTTTCTGTTGACCTTTCCATGTGTTGAATTAATACTGCCTCGGTTGGACATGTCGGCTCACACCTGTAATCCCAGCACTCCGCAAGGCTGAGGCAGAAGGATTGCTTAGATCAGGAGTTTGAGACCAGCCTGGGCAACACAGTGAGACCCTATCTCTACAAAATAATAATACTACTACTACCTCATTTGGTAGAACACAGAGAGAAAATTCTGACATTACTTTCTTTTGCTATTCCTTTCGATTACTTTTTTTTCCTTTCTTCTTATGTATTTATTTTTTTAAAGAGATGGTGTCTCACTCCGTTGCTCAGGCTGGAGTGCAGTGGTGTAGTCATAGCTCATTAAACTCTTGGGTTTGAGCAGTTCTCCCGCCTCAGACTCCTGAGTAGCTGGGAGCACAGGTGCATACCATGGAACCTGGCTAATTTTTAATTATTATTATTATTTTTTAAGATACAGTGTCTTATTATGTTACTCAGGGGTGGTCTCAAACTCCTGGGCTCAAGGAATCTTCCTGCCTCAGCCTCCCAAAGTGCTAGGATTACAGGCGAGAGCCACTGAGCCTGGCCTTGGCCTTGTTCTGCTGTAAAACATTCCACTGGGTTTATTTTAGATAGAAACATGACCTGGAGATAGAAATTGTCCTATAGAGACAGACTTTACTGAGCACTTTTCTTATCTTCCAAAGCAAAGGTGGTTAGCCTATAATACTTCAGAAGAAACCGAATAAAAGAAAACAATAGTTTGGCAGTTGCTTCCTGTGTGGGGCCTGTCTTCTTTTTCTGCCCGGGAAGAGCTCCTGCTTCAGGGGCTGCAGATTCTGTGTGGGAGATCTAGGGTGTTGGGAAAAATAACGTTTTCATGTTAAAATTAAAAAATAGGGCTGGGCGCCGTGGCTCACGCCTGTAATCCCAGCACTTTGGGAGGCCAAGGTGGGTGGATCACGAGGTCAGGAGATCGAGACTATCCTGGCCAACATGGTGAAACCCCGTCTCTACTAAAAATACAAAAATTAAAGCTGGGCATGGTGGCGCATGCCTGTAATCCCAGCTATTCAGAAGGGTGAGGCAGGAAAATTGCTTGAGCCCAGGAGGCGGAGGTTGCAGTGAGCCGAGATCACACCATTGCACTCCAGCCTGGGTGACAGAATGAGACTCTGGCTCAAAAAAAAAAAAGAAAGAGAATGATCTCCAATTATAGGTTTTCTTAGAATGTGATGGTGTAACAGATCCTTGAAGATCATCTCTTTAAGCTGTAAAAATGATGGTTCCTTAATGAGAGCTTTGTTCAGATAAAAAGGTCCAAATGCCCTCTGGACTTTAGTACTTGTGTTTTGACATGTACTTTATTGCTTTATTTCTCCCACATTATAATAATACTTCTGCTTTGAACCTACAGAATATATATATCTATTTTATTTCTGAAGAACCAGATCTGCCAGGCAGTAGTGTGCAAAGCTTCCAGGCGCTCGACTCCTTGTGGAACGTGGCAGAGGAGTCAGACACATCGCATTGTGGCTCTTGCAAAGCAGTTGTTTTCATACATTCATTCAAGCAGGCAATTATTCATTTATTTCAGCAAACATTGATCAAGCACTAATTTCTGCCAGGCCCTGTGCTCCATGCTAGGAATGTAACAGTTGAGAAGACAACCTCTGTCTTCTCTTGAGTTAGTTACACAGTTAAAAATAAGGTCATTGCCTAATGCCATCTAGCAAATATGTTGAAAGTCAGCTGTGTGTGCCAGGCACTGTTTCAGCCTCTGGGGATATAGTGGTTCATCATAAAAGACAGAGTGCTTGCTTCAGTGGAGCTAGGCATTAAGAATAATGCAAATAAAGAGAAGGTTTAATTTCAGGCTCTGCAAAGAGCTATGATGATGTTGCACTAATATAGAGTGGGATGGGGTGGAGTAGAGATTCCTTCACCCATGAATTAGGAAAAAGCCCATTTGCCCTGTGCGTCCTTGTTCCTCATCCTATGAGAATAAGAAGAGAATAATATATATAGAAGAGCTTTTTGGGCCGGGCGCGGTGGCTCCTGTTTGTCATCTCAGCACTTTGGAGGCGGGCAGATCATGAGGTCAGGAGATCGAGACCAGCCTGCCGACATGGTGAAACTCTGCCTCTACTAAAAATACAAAAAATTAGCTGGGCGTGGTGGCGCGTGCCTGTAGTCCCAGCTACTTGGGAGGCTGAGGCAGGAGGATTCCTTGAACCTGGGAGGTGGAGGTTGCAGTGAGCCGAGATCATGCCACTGCACTCCAGCCTGGCAACAGAGCGAGACTCCGTCTCAAAAACCAAAAACAAACAAAGAGCTTTCTGGACTAGACAGGATCACACAGATAGTATGAGTGTTTGGTGCTGGCAGAGTAGGTGGCCATCAGCCCCTTGTCCTTGGGGCTCAGTTGTGCCTCATAGGAGGGACAGTTGTTTCTGCCACAACAGCCCTGCCTCACCCGCCAGGTTTGGGATATGATCTGAATTCTGTCACACTTCCGATGGCAAACAGTTCACATGATTTTGTCATTTATTTTAAATTTAGTGAAATTGTAGAA